GTCAATCAATGTGTCAGGCTGTCTTCTAGCCAAATGGTGGGCAGGTGAGCCAGGCTCAGCCTCACAAATTTACCTGGGGCTTGATCTTCAGTAGAGTGACTCAGAATTTTAAAAGGTGGATGTGAGAAGTACTGATTAAAAAAACCCTAACCTCGATCCAAAAGCTTTTCTTATCCCTGCTATTTCCAAGCATGGTTTTTTCAACTATTCTTTTTTTTTTTTTCCTTTTTATCTTTTTCACTGACTGGTAACGGGATCGCAACCCTCGGTGTTGCGCCCGCACCGCGCTCAACCAGTGAGCGGGAACCAGTCTCCACATGGGATCCGAACCCTTGGCGGGAGCGCCACCACGCTCCCAGGTGGCGCACTCTCCAGTGCGCCACTGGGCCAGCCCTTCAACTATTCTTTTAATTCTATATATTCTCAATATATTCCCTTTCTCTTAAGTCAGAATCAGTTCCTCTTGCTTGTAGTCAAAGGAAGCTTACTGATTGATGCAAGCACTAAGTGCCAGGCACAATGCCAAGAGAAATCTTCAACTATTCTTTTAATTCTATATATTCTCAATAAATTCCCTTTCTCTTAAGTCAGAATCAGTTCCTCTTGCTTGCAGTCAAAGGAAGCTTACTGATTGATGCAAGCACTAAGTGCCAGGCACAATGCCAAGAGAAATTTCCTAAAAGAGGAAACTGAGCCTTAAAAAGCTTAACATAACAAGAAAGAATAAAACCACTAAGTCACCAGAAATATGACGACCAAATCAATGAGTATAATGACTTGAGGTAACATTTTAAGCACGAAAAGAATATGTTTTAGGCCTCTAATGTCTGAGACAAATTACCCAATGAAGTTTGTAAGAACTGAAAATATAAGTAGGTTCTTGAATAGTTTGGAGAAATACAGATATTAAGCCCATAGTCCCTTCTGCCATTCTAAGTCTAAAAATCTCTTAAAAACAAAAGTATTTTTTGATTTAACACAACTCACTTGGCAACAAATTCCAATCTAAACAGACTTGAGACCATTTACAGTATTTATTTATCCTATTTAATGTGAATACTCATATGTTTTGCTGCAGAAATGTTGTGATATGTTGTGTTTTATTACAAGATAGCTAACCATATCGTGGCTTGGGAATATGACAAAATATACAGTATATACATTTTATTATTTTCCAAAATCTGAAAAACAAAATTATTTTAAAACACATCAGACCCCAAGGGTTTAGGATAAGGATTGCGGTTTATGTCATGAAGGAACAAAATACCTACTGATGCCACAGTTGGAAACAGAATACTGTTAGAAATAGCCAGAACCTATGTGGCTATCCTTTTGTACTTTTTCTCAATATCTTAACTGAAAAGTGTCAAGTTATCAATGACCCTTCTATTCTCAATTATCTAGTCTTCCTTATGAATAAAAATGTACCTTTGTGAGAGAGCTGGATGACATCAGCATGAAATCTTTGGCCTATAATTAGACAAAACTAAATGCCCCATCCATGCTGAATGTAAACCAGTGATTAGAGCTTCTCTGGCATCACTGTGTCATTGGGTAAAATATCGGTCCCATAATCTGTAGAAGTTTCATCTCAGTTTTCTAAGGAATGGCAAACTCCAAGCATGAGTCTTGTCTCTAGTCAGATTTCTCACCAAGAGCTAAGAATGACCAAGAGCCAAGGGCCCACCTTTGAGAGGGGAGATGAGTGGAGAACCTCTGGCAGGGCTGTCTCTTTTGTAACTGTTACTCTCAGCTCTGTGTCATGCTCCTCCATGCCTGTCTCACCCAAATAAAGTATTTAATCTTGTTTCCATAACAAACTGATCACAAATTTGCATTTACTAGTTAATCCCATGTTGTTGCAACATAAGAGGACAGAAAACAGGAAAAGCAAATCTAGACTATCAGTCCAAAGACCCCGTTCTTATGGAAAATGGTATTTTGAAAAACACGGATCAAACACTAAAATAAAGGAACAAAAATATTGTATTTGTTTAAGCTTTCTAGATGCTGAGTCTGTATGCACCCTACAGAACCCATTTAGGAAGTAATGCACTGAAAGAATTTATTTCCCTTTAACAAAAGAACATTTTTTTCTTTGAGATGAATTTGCATTGCTCTCAAATTTACTTCATCTGCAAGTTGCCTTTGAGAAAACACCTTCATTGTCCTAGACACATGTGTTCACCCAATACCCAACCATGATTTGACTCATGCCTGCTGCTGAGGATTGTGTTTTTGAGGTAATCCATATATTTGTAGGGAATAGAAACCAAGAACTGAGAAACTTCCCAGGGGTGTGGCACTCTTCATCAGAAGGGTCGTGATGAGCTCTACTTGGGTATGTGGCCATGCACATGTCATGCCTTGCAAGTGTCACATGTGGCTCCCTACCACCTTCCTACACAGCCTGCTGTAATTGTACTCACTCCTGTTTCTAAGTCATCAAAGGCAGCTGCCAAAATGTAGTTATGGGGAAGGAACAAGACAGCAATCCCTAGTCTAAATCAATTCATCTGACCAGTTGGCCAGTGATAGAAAAGAATGTAGTGTGATAAGTTCTGATGGGCAGGAGGGTCAAGAGATATCTGGAGAAATGGACGCTTACAGAAAGAGAGGGCAACCACTCGCTACAGAAGGCCACGAAGACAAACATTGCTCACCTCGCAACAACTCACATCACCAGCTTGTTAACTAGCTCATCTGAAGGTAAATCCATGTAATACCGCAGGTGCTTCTAAGTTTTCAGTAATACCTCAATATTGAAGGTAAGTGGTTCCCAGTGTTTATAGCACAAAAGGATTACCTAGCAGTTTGTTGAAAGTGCAGATTCCAGGGGGGATGGGCAGGCCACCCCAGCCATCTGTATTTCTAACAAGCAGCCTAGATGGTCCACAACCCACTTTATTGAGAAATACTGCCCCAGAGGATAGCATTGCTGCTACACTACTGAAACCTGATTTTCAAGTGGTGGTTTCCTAAATCAGTGGGTCTCAGCCCTAACCGCCTATCAGAGCCACCTGTGGAACTTCAACAGCTCTCCCAAGGCCAATATCAGGCCTCGTCCTCCTGTAGTTCTGATTCGGGATGGGTCCGTCACCCATTTGGCTCAAAGGCCCCCAGGTGATTCTAATGTGCAGCCAGCACTGAGAATCACTGTCCTAAACTGTCCTAAAAAACTGATTGCTTAAATAAGTGAAGCCGGCTTGCCACAAGTGCCTTATTTACATGATAATTGATGACTAGCCAATTTACCTTGGTCTAGGAATGGCTTTCCTAAACAAGAGTCCTACTGTTTTGGTATGAGGCTGGAGAGGGGGACAGAAGATATTATCTGGGAAATCTATGTCTCAATTAATCAAATAATTTCTGTACTCTTCCTCGTGGTTTTTGTTTGATTTTTGTCATTGTTGTTTTATTTTATTTTGTTTCTAACTCAGGAGGCTTGGTCTTTGGTGATAAGGATAACATTCACCATCATTTAAAACAGGGGATTTTTCTAGTCTGAGTCATTTCAGCACAGCTTCCAGAATTCTGAGATTTTGAAGGCTGAAACTCTGAAGGATCAGTTTGAATAAAACCAGTAAGATCTGAAATACAATCAAAGGAGTTAGAAAGTGTCTTTTATATTTCACAAGGATGGCTGGCTGGCTTTGTGGAGTGATGAAGTGCAGGGTCTCAGAAGGCAAACATTCTCTGTTAATTTTACATGCAGTTTAATTGACCAAAACTTCATTCTCAAACAACTCTAAATGTGTTTC